TCTTTAGATTCCACATATGAGTGATCTCATATGGTATTTTTCTTTCTTTTTCTGGTTTACTTCACTTAGAATGACATTCTCTAGGAACATCCATGTTGCTGCAAATGGCGTTATGTTGTCGGTTTTTATGGCTGAGTAGTATTCCATTGTATAAATATACCACATCTTCTTTATCCAGTCACCTATTGATGGACATTTAGGCTGTTTCCATGTTTTGGCTATTGTAAATAGTGCTGCTATGAACGTTGGAGTGCAGGTGTCATCCTGAACTAGATTTCCTTCTGGATACAAGCCCAGGAGTGGGATTCCTGGGTCATATGGTAAGTCTATTCCTAGTCTTTTGAGGAATCTCCACACTGTTTTCCATAGTGGCTGCACCAAACTGCATTCCCACCAGCAGTGTAGGAGGGTTCCCCTTTCTCCACAGCCTCTCCAGCATTTGTCATTTTTGGGTTTTTGGATGACGGCCATTCTGACTGGTGTGAGGTGATAACTCATTATAGTTTTGATTTGCATTTCTCTGATAATTAGTGATATTGAGCATTTTTTCATGTGGTTGTTGATCATTTGTATGTCTTCCTTGGAGAATTGCTTGTTTAGGTCTGCCTATTTTTGGATTGGGTTGTTTTTTTTCTTATTGAGTCGTATGAGCTGCTTATATATTTTGGAGATCAAGCCTTTGACGGTTTCACTTGCAAAAATTTTCTCCCATTCTGTAGGTTTTCTTCTTGTTTTATTTCTGGTTTCCTTTGCTCTGCAGAAGCTTGTAAGTTTCATTAGGTCCCATTTGTTTATTCTTGCTTTTATTTCTTCTAGGAGAAAATTTTTAAATGTATGTCAGAAAATGTTTTGCCTATGTTTTCCTCTAGGAGGTTTATTGTATCTTGTCTTATGTTTAAGTCTTTAATCCATTTTGAGTTGATTTTTGTATATGGTGTAAGGGTGTGTTCTAGCTTCATTGTTTTACATGCTGTTGTGCAGTTTTCCCAACACCATTTGCTGAAGAGACTGTCTTTATTCCATTGTATATTCTTGCCTCCTTTGTTGAAGATGAGTTGACCAAAGGTTTGTTGGTTCATTTCTGGGCTCTCTATTCAGTTCCATTGGTCCATATGTCTGTTTTGGTACCAATACCATGCTGTCTTGATGACTGTAGCTCTATAGTATTGTCTGAAGTCTGGGAGAGTTATTCCTCCAGCCTCTTTCTTTCTCTTCAGTAATTCTTTAGCAATTCTAGGTCTTTGATGGTTCCATATAAATTTTATTATGATTTGCTCTAGTTCTGTGAAATATGTCCTGTGTAATTGGATAGGGATTACATTAAATCTGTAGATTGCCTTGCTATTTGCCCCATTCTTGATGAGGCAGTGCTGGGTTTAGTTAAGTTGGGCCATTTAGGTTTCTTAGCTAGGTTTTCCGGACATTGATTTCAGCCTCTTTATCTTTTCTACAATCTCTTCTTCTCTGTCGGCCTTTGGTCTTTTGACAATGTGGAAATACTGCACGGATCAGACTTTCCATTTTTTCCTGTCTTTGTGGGAAAAGATGTCTGTAAGACAAACTACTAAGATATTAAGGATTTTGTGTGGGGTAAGTTTGGTCAGTTCTAAGGATTTCAATTAATACGTATTAATACTTGCTTTTCAGCTAATGACAGTAAAATTATAAACTAACTTAAG